AGCTTCACAGCTACAACGCCACCACGTTCAATAGCACAAAGAAGGAGCTTCATGGTCTCTATAAGGTGCTGCAGCGTAATTCCGAATTAGACTCTTTTTTTTTCGAAAATGAAAAATTGCTTGGAAATACATAGAACCCAACAGCACCAAATCGGGGAGGTATATGGAAGGCCAGGATCATAATGGTAAAACATCATTTGAAACGCATAATGAGTAACACGACACTTACATATGAATATCTTAACATCTTGTGAACGTAGATAGAAGCTATTATTAATTCTAGGTCAGTTTGTTCTCTCAGTAATGATGCGCCAGACTTAAAGTGTTTAATTCCCTACGCTACAAATGGTATACGACTGAACCCAATGTAAAAATTAATGATGCAGTTTTAGTAGTTTTAGTAGAATTGTAAATGTTTAAAAAAGGTAAAGATAACTAAATAAGAGCCATTGATGTAAAAATTAAAACCAAAAATGGAATATTTTCCTGGCCAATAAGTAAAATTGTACCTTTGCCTGTAGAGTAACTTAAATGTTGTTTTTTTTCTCTATTGTAATATTTAGTAATTCTGTATAAATATCAGTGTGTATCGTTTATTTGAATCATTCATGACTTATTCAATTATTATTTTTTACTTTAGTAGTTCTGTTTATGAAAATGTAGCGTGAATAGAGACTTCAAGTTTGGTTTAGAACACCTAATCAACCAGTAAATTAATTAATGCTAGGTTGCTTTACTAAGTGAACATGTTGATTATGTTACTAATTCTAATTACTACTTTGTATAAAAGCATGAATACAGAATGTTTCATGTATTTTTACTTTATTTTATAATTATTTTGTTAATTAACTTACTTGCACTAGTGTAGAGTAGTAGAGTAGTTTGCTACTAATTGTGCTAAATAAACCTTTAACCTGGTTTATTTTCTTGAATAATTTTGGGAATAATTAAATAGTTTGGCTTTATTCCAGGGGGCTGAATGTTCGTAAACAGAATGTATTTGAAAAAGGATAATTGTTTTTGTTGATGTAAACTGTCATTTGTAAAATAAAAGGGCACTTTTTATCAATTTTCATACCATACAAGACGTTATTTTATTTCTATATTTTATATTATTTAAACAGAGCTTATCCCTGACAAACCTCCTAAATTGATAACAAAATTAAAAAATCAAGTACCGGACCTTCACTTCATAATACGAGAACAAATTGACATACATGCGTTTCGTTATAAGTAATTTTTAGTGAAATTTGTTGTTATCGTAATTAATTCAAAACGCATTTTCGACATCCAAAAACAGTGTAAAAGGTTCAAGCTTAACCCTGACAAGTCTTCTAATCTGAAAACATAATTAAAATCTAGTACCGGACACCTATAGCCAACCCAAAAAAATATTCGTGGCTCTTAAATTCACAAGGTTGGAGAAATACTTTTTCAACTAGTGGTCCGTCTTAACTGGTGTATTTACTTCTATTTTTTGTAGAAAAAGAGTTACAAACGATCACACAGTCCACCTGATGGAAGTGAATGCTGTGGCCCATAAACACCTACATACTTGATTAGAAATCAGAATGTAAATGCATTGTCATCCCTGAGGACTAAGCTATACTGCCTCATCACCAGTACAAAGGGTTTGGGCTTTTCTACACTCACTATACAAAACACTGCAGTATTATGCTGCTATTTTACGCTGGTAATCCGTGAGAGCGTGGTCCTCCTGGTTCGAGCAAACCCATTTGTGCTACAACCATAATATGGCAGTGTGGATCTATTACGTATAAAGCTGCTTTTTATAGGATAGGGTGACAAACGAGAACACAGTCCACTTAATGGTAAGTAGTTGCTGTAGCTCATAGACGTCTACATTCTACATCTATCCTCGATTACGAATCAAAATGCAGATGCTTTGTCGACCGTAAGGACTAAGATGTAATGCCTCGATTACAGTAAGTAAAAGTATTTTTTACGGTAGTATTCTGTGAAAGCTTGGCAAAGATCAAGTCGAGGCGACCCATTCTTGCTACAGCTATACTACTAATATAACTGGAGCATGGCTCTAACTTGTACAAAATATTATTCACATATAAAATATTAGGCTGATTATTAACATCCAGTAAAAATTTAATATGAGACGCTAGAATTATTAATTTTATAATTATTTCAGATAGCCATGAACGTCAATTTTGCAATAACAATCATAAATCATCATACTTCACAGTTCTAAATAGCATCTTGCAGTAACGAGCATTAGACTGTAATGATTTCTTTTCTGTGAAGATACCTCATAAAGGATTTATTCTTTTATTTAGATATAAAAAATTGTTTAACTGCAGCAGTAAGTTGGCAAATCCAAATGTACATTTAGAAGTCCATTCCCATTAAAAGTCCACTGCTTAACAAATGTCCTCCCCCATAGGTTTCTTCATAACTCGGAAATCTGCCATAGTTGCTACGTTTGGTAGGTGGGTTGGTTGCCACGGTTTTTTTTGTTATTAACACTCTGTCGCCTTTTACGATTCCTACGGGTTGACATGGAGCAATGGATCTCTTAAGTAAGAGATGTACCTACGCGGTTTTTAAACCACGAGGATCTCAAAAAGACAGACGTTTCATTACTGTAGTACCCAACAATGAAAAAAAAGCATTAAAGCTTTTCAAATTTATTTCATTTTAAAAACAGAAGGTTGAAGGTAACACAATCTTAATGAAACATTCGGCTTTATTACAAAAAAAAAATTTTGATCCTAGGTTTAAAATATAATATGTTTCACGAAAGAAGTCTCGCAGAAATATACGAACTAAAATGTATGAAAGCAAATGTTAAATGTATGTGAAGACTGTAGCACTATGGCTAAGAAACTTCTTTAGTTAGGAACACTCTTCTTAAACTATAAAATGCCCTTCAGACTGAAATTTGAGCATGGTGGCCAAACTCAAGGGAGCCATCTGTAAAGTGTACTCTCTCCCTCACTCTCATCCTATGGGCCGGCAATCCGACACGACCGGAAGGACATTAGGTGCAAGACCAAACGCTTTGGGTAAGGGGGTAAAATACCGCCAAATTTTTGACTCCGAGCTGCTATTGGAAATTTCTTGACAAAAAATTAATATACCGAATTTTCGATCGACACGATATTTGAACCCTGATCTCATGATCAGCTGCGTTTACGATCACTAGAATAATAGGGCTGTCAAAATCGTCTCGGAAAGGGAAATCGACTCGAATTCGATAACTTTTCGAACGGAAACAATGAAACGCTATTCACATTCGCCGTTTGGATGAATTAGACATTCGTTTTCGGGAATTGTGACAGTTCGCATCGGAAACTTTACGAGACTTCTGAGGCTGGCGAAAACTTAAATATTGATAATTATAAGAAATAAATAAGCTTTTCTAAGTATAAGGTACGTAACATAAATTAATTGCAATTATGTATAAAACATATTTTCATATTTTTTTTATAGGATAGGGTGACAATCGAGCACACAGTCCACCTGATGGTAAGTGGTTGCTGTGGCCCATAGACATCTACATCTATCCTCGATTACGAATCAAAATGCAGATGTGTTGTCACCCGTGAGGACTAAGATCGAATGCCTCGTTTCCAGTAAAATGGGTCGCCGGTTCTCTACACTCACCATACGAAATACAGCAGCATTAAGCTACTCTTTCATGCCCAAAACTTATAAACACAGACTCAACTAAATACCTAGGTGTAATGATTGACAATAAATTAAGTTTTCACTATCACATTGACCTTCTAACGGCAAGAATACGCAAATTAATGGTAATATTTAAGGCCTTGAGATATTTGGGTCAGGAAAAAGTAATAAAATCAGTTTACTTCGCTCTTTGCCAGTCTCAACTCATGTACTGTATCACTTCATGGGGTGGTGCCTGTAAAACACATATACTGAAAATTGAACGAGCCCAAAGAGCACTTTTAAAAATGAGCTCGTTCCTACCATTTGATTATCCAACGTATGACCTCTATCAAAAATGGAAAGTCCTGACTGTACGCCAGCTTTACATTTTATATACCGTCCTTAAAAAAACATTCCCAGTTAAAATATGAACCAAAGATATTTAGGAATCAGCGCCGCAAGGATAAAGTCTGCAATATCTGTAGCGGTCAATTACAAATAATGCTCTTATTTATATCTCATGGGGTGGAGACCTGGTGATTTGTAATACTCAAACACCAGCTCTTCACAGATTCTAGGCTATGAGTGTGAACATACCTGTATTTAAATATATATAAGCTTTTATTATGTATGGTCGGTATTTGTGAGGAGAAATAAACATTATTATTATTATTTCACGCTGGTATTCTGTGAGAGCATGGTCCTTCCCCGGTCGAGCCGACCCATTCGTGCTACAACTACACAAAAATAATCATATAATTACTTCAATATTTGCACTTAATTTGCAAAACTGTATTTTTGTGAATATTTGGAAGAAAGGTGTGTTTTTATAAGTTTTCTATCTCTAGTTTTACAGATATAAGCAATATCAGGCATAGTAGCATTAATTCTTCATAGGCGAGTCCGCAACCACGAAAAAGAGAAGCTACGGATGCAAACAATGATCCGAAACAAACGGTTTCGCGATTTGTCGAATCCGTATGAGGACCCAAACTTCCATTCGACTTACCGACTCACCCCGGACTTGGCCTTGGCTATTGTGAACGATTTAAAGCCTGTTTGGCAACAACATCAATATTCAAGCTCACTTCCTGTAGAACTAAAGGTAAATAGGTATCTAGATAGTAAACTCAGTACCGTACCTAAGTTGTTACTTATTTTAATTCTCTTTTGGTACTTAGTTCCTCTGCGCGTTACATTTTTTCGCACAAGGCTCCTATCAAAAAAGTTTAACAAAGGATCTGGATTTCAAAGTTAGCCAACCTACTTCCAGCAGAGCCATTAGAGAGGCAATAGCCGCGCTAAATCAACCTCAAATTATCAAAAAATCGATTAATTTTCCAAATAGTCCTCAAATGGAAGCAACTGTTTTAAGGTAAATCTCAAGATTTAAATGACATAGGTACCTATAGCATACTTATTCATATGAATCTGTAGGTAGGTATTATCAAGTATAATATATGTATCAATAAGAAACTAAAATACAAAAATTATGGTGATCTTTCACGATGCAAATTTAAATTAGGTACCTTTATTTTCATTGCATTGGGTGACAAACGAGCACAGTCTATGTAATGGTAAGTGTATTCCGTGGCTCATAGACATCCACATTTATTATCAATTAAGTATTAAAATGTAAATGTGTTGTCACCCCTGAGGAAGTTGGAATGGAATTCCAGTAAAAAGGGTCTCCAATTTTCTACACTCACCGTACAAGACACTACAACATTATGCTGGTATTCTATGAGTGTGGTCCTGCACTAGTCGAGCCAACCCATTTATGCTACAACTATAATGTAGCTGCAGCGTGGCTACCACATAACAAACCTGCTACCATCTCGAAGTAGTCTATGTGGTTTTCATTCAGTAGGCAACTAAGGGACTGACCAGGTTACAGACAGCAGCAGTATGTGCTGTCTTCCTAAAATACCCAAAGCAGCTAAGAGTGAGATATAAGGCTAGACCCCTTATGAGAAGGTTGTGCATATAAGTAGCAGTAGGACTTAAATATGTTTACAAGTAGTTTGTCAGAAAACTTCATAAATAATAAATACTTTCATATTACATAAATGGTTTATTATTTTAACATGTCAACATTTAAATAAGAAATTACAACAAATTATTAAAATTTTAAAACTGTAACTAAAATCATTTAAAAAAATAACAATTATTTTCTAAGTAGGAACCTAATTACCTTGACAGACATAGTTTTATCCTTAGAATGTCTAAGAAGCTAGTATCATAAGCAGTCTTATTTTCATTTGCAGAAATTACCAAAAATTCGGAATTCCTGGAGTATTGGGCTATATTGATGGCACTCATATAAAACTTAAGAAGCCAACACAACATGAAGAACTTTATATAAATAGAAAGGGTGAACACACCCTTATTGCATAAATGGTAAATAAATTAGATTTCACTACATGGCTACACTCTGTTTTGTTGATCCCTCCGAACTGTGTCATTTATATTTAAGTACAAATACCTTACAAAAATTCAGGACATTGGTTTTGAATTTAAATAATAAGGTCATTATGACTTCTGTATATTAATTATGCAAGTGACCTAAACTGTGTACTAATTGAATTCGCTTTTCATAGGTTTGTGACAGTTCCTTAAAAATATTAAATGTGTATGCACGATATCCTGGTGCAACACACGATTCCTTATGTGGAGGTTTAGTGCACTACGAAAGGTGATGATGAATACCTTTATGGTGAAGGCAATACTTGCCGGCTTCTAGGTATTGCAATAAACAATATTTTCGATAAATCTGAAACAAATAATATCAATTAAAACAGTATTTGTAATGTTCTAGTTATTTATTTGAATTACAGGTGATTCCGGATATCCCTTGGAGCCATGGATCCTCACACCGATCCTTAATGCTGAAGAAAACACACCTCAAAGTCGATATACCAACACCCATATAAGGTCAAGGAACAGTATTGAGAGGTGTTTCGATGTTCTTAAGTCAAGGATTCGATGCTTACTAAGAAAAATGGAGTATGAACCAACAAAAGTAGGCTGCATTGTAAATGCATGTGCAGTTTTACACAATGTGTGCATAACAGCAGGACTTAGTTTTCCCGACATAGTTGATGAAGAGGCTTTAGCACCAGACGCGAGTACAGCAGATCATTATAGAGAGATACAAATATATGAGCGGGCCTTCAAGTGCGACAACAATTAATAGAAAGATTATTTTATTAAGCTATTGCATAGCTTCTGTCGCGGACCTTGAGTCCAGAAATTCCGTAACGAAAAAACCTCACGGTCCCCATTCCGACGGGCACGGAGGTGTGGCTTGAAGGCCGTGCATTGTCTAACGATGGTCTAACGTCGTTTCTTTTCCTCAGTCTTCGACACGGTGTTTGTGTATAAAGTGTTTTGAAATTTTGAATATGAATGAACAAAGTGCATACCTAAATTTTTGATATTAAAATGAGCGATATTAAAAGTAGCCCTCTTTATATACACACAAACACACACGAGTATAGTTTAAATTCTCAATTTAGATTCTCAATATGTATATATATACTCGATTAACCGGAATAATTGTTGCCGTTAGGGATTCGGATAATCGAAAATCCGGATGATCGAATGTGTGAAGAAAAGCGGGTTTTGTGCATTTGTAGTACATATGTACATACATAATGTTATGTGTTTATTAAAAACAACAATTTCAACGAAAATCAATGTTTATTAAGAAATTATTATTTTTTAATAAACATTGATTAAATTCCATGCAGAGATATAAATCTATATTACCATCCGTTACTTGCGACAAACGAGCCGCCGTCACCTAATTTTTTATTTAAGTGTAATGCTTTTTCACAAAGCAAAGGGCCAGATATCATTTGCCCAGTTGATCGTTTTTGTAAAAACACAACAATACAAAGCGTCTTCTAATTGCCAATTTACTCGCGGACATAGGTCCTTATGTCCGGGACGGGGGTTTGTTAGCGCCTGATAGTAGATCGTCTTATCTCAAGCGGTGTGAAGCGACGATTAGTGAGGTGCGGGAGGGGGAGGCTAGCTGCATTTGTGCGCGCGGTCGGTCACCCCTGTTGGCATCGAGCCGAGCTAGGGGAGCAGACGGCGGGGCCGGGCTGCACCCGGCCCGCCGCTAGGGCGCGCTCCTAGCTAGGCACGCGGCGCCTGCGCCGTTCTCCGGTTGCAGTATAGGGGTCGCGAGAGTTTTTGCGCGAAGCCGGGTTGTTCATATATTGAAAGTCTCCTTGTTTTGTCTTAGACTTATGTTAATAGAGCGTGCCATTTGAACTTAAAGACAATTAATTGGACAATAAATAATAAGTGACAAATCTTGCCGTGGAGCGTGGAGTTGAGTAGTTGCGCGTCTTGTTAATATAATTGCCGTACGGCCGCCCTGACGTATGTACTGCGCGAACCTGAGTTTTTTGCGACGCGGTACGGTGATATAGTATTTTTCACAAATAGTGAGTTCGTTATAACGCGGGCTTGGTTAAATCTGGTTGAATTTGATTGGATTAACCTAATGACAATTGACTTAACTGTAATTAATGAGTGATAAACGAGCGTAATTTCCTAGACTCTGAAGTTTCTGTGACTGCTTGCCCCTTCAGTGGATCCCATACTGGAATAGAGGTGAAGCCTTGGAATCTGCTGTTCGGCAACCAGCGGGAAGTCAGGTTACATAATATAATACGTACTGAGCATAACACTATCACACACATATACTTACACCTGAATCTTCCTAGGTTTGACCCTACGTCGACGAAATAGGTAAGTCTTGTTTGGTTCCTTTTTAACCGCTATTGTCTCATATTCCACAAGCCATTTAGGCCGACCTCCTGTTACTCGTCGAGTTGAACCCCTGGTGGGCCCGGGCTCTACGACCTTTGCCCGGGTAAATAGAGGCCGTAACAATAGCAGAGTAAAAAATTAGAGATTGTGGTGTTTGAAATTTGTCATCTATGAGAGTGAATTTTATCTGTGTACTCTGTAACAAATAACTATGTAGAAAAAAATGTGAAAATGACATTTCGCCATTTTTGTTTGTGTACTGGTTAGGAACGCGATCAAAAATTTGATCATTTTTCTGTTTTTATACGTTATTTCTAAAAACATTTGAAAATGACTATTCGCCATTTTTGTTTGTGTACTGGTTAGGAACTCGATCAAAAATTTGATAATTTCTCCGTTTTTATACGTTATTTTTAATGTTATTTAACATCAAATTAATTGTGGAGATATTTTCTTTAGGAAATATGTATCATTATGACGATTCAAAAACGTTTACATATAATAATTTACCTCGAAATTCACTATAAGTGATTATCGTTTATTGAATAAATGTTGTTTAAAAAGTATTCTTATCAGTTTTTTTTTGTGTTAAATGGATGCTAAATATAAAAGAATGCTTCAGTATTCATAGCAATTTATTAACGAAATATCTGTTTAGATGTGTCTAGAAATTATTAATACTTATTTTTATTTATTTATTAAAATAATAAATAAATAAAAATAAGTATACATTTATCTATATTGAGTACTAGTTATTCCCCGCGATCTCGCCCGCGTGGAATATGGATTTCATGGGTTTTAATTTTTTTGCGCGGAACCCTAATTCTTTTTCTAAAACGAAAGTAGTTCAAGTTATTCCTTATATCATCAGCTATCTGCCAGTGAAAGTCCCGTCAAAATAGATCCAGCTGTTTCGGAGATTAGCTGGAACAAACAGACAGACAGACAGACAGACCGACAGACAGACAAAAAATTTAAAAATTATGTTTTTGTTACTAGTACTTTCATATGCATTTAATAAAAAGCTGTTGTTTTAACATTACAAACAGACACTTCAATTTTATTTATTTGCAGATATAGATATAAGATATTATTCATATTGGTGTCATTTTAAAGGAAATATCATATACTATTATAATAATAAAATAATTGTCTCCAGTAAATATTATACTTTTCTTGTAAAACTCGAAATAAGTAACAAATAAATACGATTTTTTTTTTTATATTCCCATATGCTTTATTTTCATCCTTTATTTTTTATTTGACCAATTTTCTTTTAACAAAATTAAATTCTTAATTCGTTGAGCTTTTTGAGAATATTTTTATTTGAATGTTAGGTAGGTTTGAATATTAGTTTTTCAGTAGTAATCGTTTTTGTTGCGACAGTCTCGCGCGGTCGTAAAAAAAAAGTTACTGCGCGGACAGGTGGGACCAGAATCAATTGCGTTGCGCGGCGTTGACGGTTCGGTGGATAGGTACCTACCTACTGTTATTACCTAGACTAGATACCCATAACCTACTATACAACAAAATTTGACAAACTGTCGCTGCGTCGTGGACACTAAAATGTAAATTGCCTACCTACCTGCCTAAGTACGTCGGTACTAAGGAAACAGTCTTGACGGGTCACTTGTCTTGATAAAAACATGTGTTTACATCTAGTGATATTGTGTGTATATATAAAAAGTAAGAAGACAGGTTATAGGTAGGCAGAACTAATTACAATTATTATCTAAATATTATAAATGCGAAAGTTTGGATGGATAGATGTATGTTACTCAATCACGCCAGAACACCTGAAGGGATCTGGATGATATTTAGCTCAGAGATAGGTTATACCTAGTCTGGAATAACACATTTGATACCGTTTATTCAGGTATTTCGTTCCTGTGGGATAATTTTCGAGTTCACGCGTTTGAAGCCGCTGCGCTGGCAACAGCTAGTATATATCCGTACTGCGATGACTGTTCCAGTTCATACTTCGGCGTCGTGAACTCTTGAGTGATCGCTGCATGACCACCCGGGGAAAACTAAACATAATAAAATAAGCAATCTATATTAGGTATCTATAGAGCCATAGTATAAAGCGATAACGCAGCGCCTAATAATTTAGTACGAGTGGCACGATGCCAGGTGAGACAACGTGCTTTTTGGCCGCGCCCACCAATGAGTTCGAGCCCGCGACTTGTGCCACCTTAAGGCGACACCGTGAAAAAATGCACCTCCTTTCATCGAATAGTATAGGACTATGACACCACTAAGGGAAGTGAAATTTTGATATAGGTAAATTCATGTCTTTATCTTGAATTTGATTGCTCAAAAACACGATAGTATAATTTTGACTCGATCATAATTATTTGCGAAAACACCTCTAAAAAACCACTATAGTTGAAATTACAACGAAATTACTTAATCTATATGTTTCGAAATCACTCAAATATATTCATAACATTAATATTCATAATTTACTTGCTTATTATTTTGATTACTCAAATCAATAATTTTTACAAAAATATTTTAGACCTTATGAGGGCGTTTTTTCAAGTTTTTATAGAAATTATACATTCACTCGGATCAGTCCGGCGATAGCCCCTTTCGAGGTGTCGTCTTAACGCAATTCCTTTGTATAGTGCGAAGTTGCCACTCTTATTAGTTATTCCGCTTCGTAATATTTTATTTATAGGTGATATTTTGTTTATGTAGGTATTCGATAGATTCCTATAGTCTGTTTTTTCGCAGGAGACAAAAAATAACAGATCTTTATTAGATTCGTTTAGCACGAATAATACAGTTTTTATGATTCTGGTTCAGATTAGATTTAATTTTAGTCACTTAAGTTTCGTATATTGTTCAAAATAATGAAATAAATCAACAGAATCTGCAGTTACGAAAAAAAGCAATATCATTTTAGTCTCCGGCGAAAAAAAAAGATATATATCATGATTAATTTACCAACTAGTTATTCGTTTACTAAATACGAAAAAATATCTAGGTTTCCCCAGCCGTGATACATTATAGATTGACTATATTATCATTTATTTTACTATTGTAAATAAGTACTTATTGTAGATATTGACAGGTTTAATAGAAGTTCATTTTCTTATATTGTGACTAATAACCTAATATGACCTTGGGAAGAAACTCATTTTATTATAAGGTTTTACTGCAATGACTGCCAATGGGTTGTTAATTTCTACAATAGACCGTGGCGTATTGTTGCTGACATGATTAACTCCGAAAATATAATTTATTTACTTGATTGTGTTGAGTTTTTGTGCTCTCACTGCGAGTTTACTTTTTTATGATCACTATCTTAAGGAAGAGTGCGAACTATTTACCTAATCTGTACAAAATTACTCTATACTTAACTAGATTCATTTTTGTGAAAGGCTATTTTTGTTAAAT